CCTAATGTCAATTGTCGTGTTTTTCATTCTTTTCTGCGTGAGTTTAGTTCTTTTGAACATGTTTGACTACTGCTAGTTGTCTAATCAAGTGAAAATACGCATTGGTATTGGTCGAAATAAGTAAATGAAAGCCGACTAACAACTACGAATGCGTACATCTAAGCAAAATTGCAAAAATATTAAATGGAAGTAAACTAAAGTTACACTAAAAGTTTCAAAAGTCAAAACTTAATTAAAATGAATTTTAGAAAAGTAAAAATGTGAAAAGTTAGTTGATATTATCAGATTTAATGGAAATTTCCAAAACCTATTACAATGAGTTAAAATGAGTTAAAGAAAACTTTCAACTAATTAAAAGTAATGAAGATGTGGTAAAATCAATTAGAGTAAATACAAGTAATTACATGTGTTTCAATTCAACAGAATTAAGTAAAAATGAATAAATTGATGAAAGCAAATTAGAGTTAATTCAAGTTCACTAAACCTCATTAAATGTATTCAAAAACTTGTGAGAAGGAATGAAAAACTCAAAATCATCAAGATAACTTAAAAAACTAATTAACATCATTTAAAAACACTGACATGACAATCAATCAAAAATTTGCTCACGTTTAATTTTATTCTAATTCAGTCTAATTCATTTTAATTCATTTTAATTCATTTTAATTCATTTTAATTCATTTTAATTCATTTTAATTCATTTTAATTCATTTTAATTCATTTTAATTCATTTTAATTCATTTTAATTCATTTTAATTCATTTTAATTCATTTTAATTCATTTTAATTCCCCACATCTTTGTGTGGGGTTCTTACTTTTGGGGCTGTCCCGCCTCTTCCTCCTCTTCCTCTTCCTCCTCCTCCTTCTCCTCCTTCTCCTCCTCCTCCCCGTCCTCCTCTTCCTGTTCCTCATGTCGCATGCATCACATCAGGATCACGCACATCACGGTTCACATCACGCACATGACGCCACATCACGATCACGCACATCACGCATCACATCACGGCGCACATCACGGTTCACATCACGCACATGACGCCACATCACGATCACGCACATCACGCATCACATCACGGAAACGCTGGCAGGCGCGACACAGGCGTCGTTGGGCTGGCAGGCGCGCTACTTATAGGGGCCCTGGACCCTTGCCGCGCGCGCGCTCGGGCTGCGGGAAACGCTGGCAGGCGCGACACAGGCGTCGTTGGGCTGGCAGGCGCGGTACTTAGGGGCCCTGGACCCTTGCCGCGCGCGCGCTCGGGCCGCGGGAAACGCTGGCAGGCGCGACACATGCAGGCGTCGTTTGTGCTGACAGGCGCGGTACTTAGAGGCCCTGGACTCTTGCTGCGCGCGCGCTCGGGCCGCGGGAAACGCGGCGCGATACAGGCGTCGTTGGGCTGGCAGGTGCGGTACTTAGGGGCCCTGGACCCTTGCCGTGTGCGCGCTCGGGCCGCGGGAAACGCTGGCAGGCGCGACACAGGCGTCGTTGGGCTGGCAGGCGCGGTACTTAGGGGCCCTGGACCCTTGCCGCGCGCGCGCTCGGGCCGCGGGAAACGCTGGCAGGCGCGACACAGGCGTCGTTTGTGCTGGCAGGCGCGGTACTTAGGGGCCCTGGACCTTGCCGCGCGCGCGCTCGGGCCGCGGGAAACGCTGGCAGGCGCGACACAGGCGTCGTTTGTGCTGGCAGGCGCGGTACTTAAGGGCCCTGGACCCTTGCCGCGCGCGCGCTCGGGCCGCGGGAAACGATGGCAGGCGCGACACAGGCGTCGTTGGGCTGGCAGGCGCGGTACTTAGGGGCCCTGGACCCTTGCCGCGCGCGCGCTCGGGCCGCGGGAAACGCTGGCAGGCGCGACACAGGCGTCGTTTGGGCTGGCAGGCGCGGTACTTAGGGGCCCTGGACCTTGCCGCACGCGCGCTCGGGCCGCGGGAAACGCTGGCAGGCGCGACACAGGCGTCGTTTGTGCTGACAGGCGCGGTACTTAGAGGCCCTGGACCTTGCCGCGCGCGCGCTCGGGCCGCGGGAAACGCTGGCAGGCGCGACACAGGCGTCGTTTGTGCTGGCAGGCGCGGTACTTAGGGGCCCTGGACCCTTGCCGCGCGCGCGCTCGGGCCGCGGGAAACGCTGGCAGGCGCGACACAGGCGTCGTTGGGCTGGCAGGCGCGGCACTTAGGGGCCCTGGACCCTTGCCGCGCGCGCGCTCGGGCCGCGGGAAATGCTGGCAGGCGCGACACAGGCGTCGTTTGGGCTGGCAGGCGCGGTACTTAGGGGCCCTGGACCTTGCCGCGCGCGCGCTCGGGCCGCGGGAAACGCTGGCAGGCGCGACACATGCAGGCGTCGTTTGTGCTGACAGGCGCGGTACTAAGAGGCCCTTCTCTTGCTGCGCGCGCGCTCAGGGCCGCGGGAGAACCGGCGCGATACATGGCGTCGTTGGGCTGGCAGGTGCGGTACTAGGGGCCCTGGCCCCTTGCCGTGTGCGCGCTCGGGCCGCGGGAAACGCTGGCAGGCGCGACACAGGCGTCGTTGGGCTGGCAGGCGCGGTACTTAGGGGCCCTGAACCCTTGCCGCGCGCGCGCTCTGGCAGGCGCGACACGGCGTCGTTGGGCTGCGGCGCGGTACTAGGGTCCGGCCTTGCCGCGCGCGCGCTCGGGCCGCGGGAAACGCTGGCAGGCGCGACACAGGCGTCGTTTGTGCTGGCAGGCGCGGTACTTAGGGGCCCTGGAACCTTGCCGCGCGCGCGCTCGGGCCGTGGGAAACGCTGGCAGGCGCGACACAGGCGTCGTTGGGCTGGCAGGCGCGGTACTTAGGGGCCCTGGACCCTTGCCGCGCGCGCGCTCGGGCCGCGGGAAACGCTGGCAGGCGCGACACAGGCGTCGTTTGGGCTGGCAGGCGCGGTACTTAGGGGCCCTGGACCTTGCCGCGCGCGCGCTCGGGCCGCGGGAAACGCTGGCAGGCGCGACACAGGCGTCGTTTTTGCTGGCAGGCGCGGTACTTAGGGGCCCTGGACCCTTGCCGCGCGCGCGCTCGGGCCGCGGGAAACGCTGGCAGGCGCGACACAGGCGTCGTTTTTGCTGGCAGGCGCGGTACTTAGGGGCTCTGGACCCTTGCCGCGCGCGCGCTCGGGCCGCGGGAAACGCTGGCAGGCGCGACACAGGCATCGTTTCTGCTGGCAGGCGCGGTACTTAGGGGCCCTGGACTCTTGCCGCGCGCGCGCTCGGGCCGCGGGAAACGCTGGCAGGCGCGACACAGGCGTCGTTTGGGCTGGCAGGTACTTAGGGGCCCTGGACCTTTGCCGCGCGCGCGCTCGGGCCGCGGGAAACGCTGGCAGGCGCGACACACACGTCGTTTCTGCTGGCAGGCGCGGTACTTAGGGGCTCCTAACCTTTGCCGCGCGCGCGCTCGGGCCGCGGGAAACGCTGGCAGGCGCGACACAGGCGTCGTTTCTGCTGGCAGGCGACCGCAAATGGCATGGTAACGGACATCTGGGCGCTCGAAAACACCGCAAGTAGCATGGTAACGGACATTTGGGCGCTTGAAAACACCGCAAGTAGCATGGTAACGGACATCTGGGATGTTCTGCGGAAGCGAGAAGAGCAATCGTTCGCTGGGCAAGATGGCTCAGCGATACACCGTCTGGCTGAAGCTGGAGGATGACACGATCGTCGAGGACGTCATCGATTGGCGAGCAGCCGGCGCGGGCCGCAACTGTTACTTCTTCCGAGATCATCCTCTCGTACTGAAAGTCTTCGTAGATGACACGCAGCGGTGGAATGATAACCAGATGGAACAGGAAGCCTTGTGTGAATGGCTGCCGCGGCTGCCGCAGCATCTGTCTCCCTTTTTTGGCCGGTACGTGACGTGGGGAATGTGTCATGACGGGGAAAAGCATCGGCTGGACGCCATACTGGTTGGCAAGCTGGGTCCTACCCTGAGGACAGTCTTGACTGACATCAGTGACGACGTAGAGGATCCTATCATGGAATACGTCAATGAGCGGACAATGAAAAGGCAAGTTCGGAAACATTTCTTGGACGTTGTCTGTGCCTGCGAACGTGCCTTTCACGCTGGCCTGATGTTCTACGCCAACCTGCACATGGACAAAATTTGCTTGGGCGAGATTACGCAGCAGTGGATCTTTATTGATCTGGAGATATTCCAAAAAGTGCCTCCTCACTTCACGTTTCGGCTAGCGTTGCAAACAGCCGCGAAGTTCCTACTCCGGGGGACGTCTCTTCGCTTCACCCCGAGAGCCTTCCAGGTCTTCCGGAGCTTGGCGGCAGAGCACATTCAGGACGAATCGACAGACATGGACATCGCATCTCTCCGAGCCAAGCTGGACGAGGCCAACGCCGTAGATGCCACGCACGGCGTCGCTGGAACTACCGACTCGGAATGGGAAGGTGTTCCAGCGACTGCCGACCGTGCCGACGACCTTCCCCCATGGTCGGTTGTCGACCTTGTCGACCGTGCAGGTACAGATGACCTCCCCCCATGGGCAGAAAGCAGCCGTGCCAACATCCCACGCACAGGTACACATGACTCCCCCCCTCCATGGGCGGAAAGCAGCCGTGCGCCGCGGACATTCGCTGCGTCTGCCGACCCGGATTGGGATGACATTCCCCCATGGCACCGACCCGGAATGGGGAGGAGATCCAGCGGCGGCGAGTAGCACCTATTTTGTGCAGGACTGCCCATAAGGGCCCGAGTCATGGTCGCGAATTAGGGAAGCTCTGGCGCACGCGACTTTGCAAACACAAAAGCTTACTGCTGCGCTTGTTGCTTCGCTTGGCAGACATATCCCAAACCTTGCAGTTGAGATTTCGACTTGGCTTCAAACTTTCGCCTCCGGTTGTGCTTGCTGCTCGCGTAACCTGACAGGTCTCTTCCGCTCGCCGAGAAGATGACGGAGCTTCGGCTATAACATGCCCGCGACTTTGCAAACACAAGAGCTTACGGCTGTGCTTCTTGCTTCACTTTGCATGCGCATCAGCAGCTCCGGGTTCAGATGTTGATTGTGGTTGAATGCTTTGACGCCATGTCCAGGAATCTTCCAGATTCGTTGCTCGGAAGCATGACTGTCGCACTGGGTAATCACGATGTCATCGACGAATTCTCCGTTGCCATGAGAGATCTCGACCAGCACGACCAGCGACACCTCGCGGAGATCGTTGCACCGAATGTTCTGCGCCGACAGCTGACAAACGAACATGGTGCTCGGGCCCCTGTGACTGACAGGCAAGAGTACCTCATGTTCACGGTGAGTTTTCTTCAGTTGGCTGCACGAGCACGAACGATGTCACCGCCGGAGGACACGAACTTCAACGATGTGGGCAGCAAGGTCCGGGCGCTCCGAGCTGCAGCAGATGCGCTGGAATACGCAGCGGCCACCAGCACGCACGTCGGCGGCGATCTTGCTGCTGCTGTCACAGCGTCGCTCGACGAACCTGAGCCCGACCCGGCGCCGCTGACCGAAGCCCCCGCAGCCAGCGTATCTCGTATGGAGAAGCGCAAGAGAAATCCCCATTGAAAAGCGTGATAGACCTCCTATCGCCTAAGAACATCACGAACATAGTGGAACATCCTTATCATTTACGAGTCTTGTGAAACCGGTAGTGCAAACGGCCGGCTAGTCGCCTCGACCCGGATTGGGAAGAGGGATGACGGCCTGTCTCTGGTGAGTGTACAGGGCTTGTACCTGAGCAGCGACTGATCGGATCGGCCTCTATTTAAAACGGCGGTCGCCTTAGTGTCTGTGCGTGCGTGGCATCGCTGCGTGTGCGAGTGTGCGACTATATTTCTGTGTGTGCTTCTGGACAGAGCAGACACAAAGAGATGAAGAGATACAGAGAGAGAGAGAGAGAGAGAGAGAGAGAGAGAGAGAGAGAGAGAGAGGTATGGTTTGTGTGCATACCTCTCAACTGGCTCACAGTCATAGGCCATACGATGCAAGCTGAAAGATTCCAGGTGGCTGGGGTTGAAGGTGTTGAGGATTCGGAGTTACTTGACCAAGAGGTTTGCATGGTTTCCAAGAATAAAATGGCAGCCATGATTTGCTCCATCTTCGAAAAAGACGGGGCTTTGGATTACGTGGTCCAATTACCTTACCTGCCGACCCTTGTAGAAGAGTTTGTCTGGCGTTTGCCACCAGCCGCACCTCACACGAAGCTGGGGGTGGGCTTTGAGAAACTTCCGCACGTGGAGGGCCTGCGCGTGATTGAAATTTGTTCCAACGGCAGGGCGCATACTGCGCAGACTGCGCGTGACGGCACCGTTGACGAGCGCCTTCGTGCCCCACGCAAGCTTCAAGGAGGAGACTTCGTGGTGATGGTGAACGGGCGGTCATCAAGGTCAGAGATTTTGGAGGAATTCCGAAGCGGCCGCCTGGTGACTGCGATTGTCTGGCGCTTCCCTCAACCCTTACAACTTGAACAACCCCGTGGATGGGAAATATGTCCGGTGCAGGAAGAGGCCGCCCATGACAAGGATTCAGAGTCGCGCACGGCGCCATGAAGAGCTCCACGGATAGCAGCGTTCGTCTGGGCAGAAACCTGAAGCTTCCATGCTGTTACTGGTTTATGTCGGACTTGTGGACAGCGCGCGCAACTCGGATTCAGAAGCAAAAGGCTGTGTTCTGCCACCAAGACTCGTGCGGCTTGCGTAGCACCGCTTTACTGCCATTGCCTTGGAGCACTTCTGATTTCGCTTTCACCATGCATTCTTGTTTATGAGCCTACCTGCGAGGTGGAACCCTGTCACGACGCGAACACGCCTGCTCGGCTCGGGCAGAGTCGCTGCCTCATCTCTTATGGATGTTCAGAAAGCTGGAGACACTTGGCGATGCTCTGCTGAAGAGGTCGGATCCATGTCGAGCGTCTCCATACCTGTGACTGCAAATCATAAACAGGTTGCGCAGCTGGCCAACCCTTTGCAGTCGCGTCGCCTCTCGCCGGGACCTCAGTCCCGCATGGACTTAACCATAAGGTTTTGCAGTAAGTCTTCTGGCTCCATCTAATCTAGCTAGAATTTAGCTGCCTCAACCCACCTGTTAACCTTACAATAATTTTCCAGTGAAACGCGATGGCACCTCTTCGAGCTCAGGGCGTTCCGGGCTGCAAGATGGAGAGCTGGCAGTTGGAGCCCCTTTGCTCGACTTTGGCCTTGGACAAGACGGCGAGAGCAAGTGCTGATTGCACGCTGGGTTCCAGAACTTATTCCAGGGTGCTTGCTCCGCGCCAAAGGCATGCTCCAGTATCCAAGAAGGCGCCGCCCCCACAGTCCCGCAAGGCTCCTCCGCCGCAGCTTCACCCGTGCGCCTCGGGAGGAACCTGGCTTGGGTTGCATCGAGATCTTACTGTTGCCTTCACGCACGTTGCGAAGTCTCGCAGCCATTTCATCTGAAGATCCGCATGAAGCCAATTAAGCCAAGTTTTGCAAGGCCCGGTCGTCGGCGTCCGAAGAATGATTGCTCGACATGGACATCGTGCTGGCTTCCTTTTCCTCTTCCCTATCTGTAGGCTGCTGCTAGAATCAAATGAATTGCTCCTCACTTTCCTACTGCTGTCCTGGTTTCCCTAAGGTTTAGGCACCGACCCAGGACCCCGGAATCGGCCAGCGCACACACACAGAACCGACGTAACAGGCTTCAATTAAATTAATTAAGTGAACGGAATCCAGTTCAGGAATTCAGGGATGGGCTGGGGTCCACCCTAAGCTGCTGCTGAATTTTGCGTGCTTCCTCAGGGTTTTTGGGGTTTGCCTTCTCGGGGCTAAGGCCTCTCCCAAAGCTTTCAGGCCATCAACAAGTGCAGGAGTTGACCTTCAGCCGGTCAGGCCCAAGAGGCAACTCCTGAATAAGCAAAGATAAGCCATGTTTGGTTCGTTAGGTTGTTGCTGTCGCTAGGAGCTTCGGGTTTGAGATAAGTTAATAGATACTAGTGCTCCAGGGCTTCATCAACGACAACACCCAATACCAGGCAAACCACCCGGTGACGGCCTCAGGTCTTCCAACGTCGAGTTCAATTGCGGATTGCGCGGCTCCGAGAACTATACGACGGGTAGCTACCTTGATCAGTGCCAGCATCGCACGCGAATGGAGTGTGAGTGCTTAGATGTTGGCCGTGCAGGTACAGATGATCTCCCCGCATGGGCGGAAAGCGGCCTTGCACCGCCGACACTCGCTGTATCTGCCGACCCGGATTGGGAAGGAGATCAAGCGCTTGCTCAGGAGACGCACTCGGCGACTAGCGTCGCCCCTTCGTTTAACAAAGATCGACAGCTACATTGGTTCTGCGGCCTGAGGTCGCGCCTCACCAATGTACGACTGACACACATGTTACTTCTGCAATTATTCTTGACGCGTCGCTCTTTACCTTCGCGCGGTTTCGCACTCGCACTCGCGCACACACACTCACACTCACGCACTCACACTCACGCACTCACTCATGGCCACACACTCACTCCATCGCTCTCTCACTCTCACTTCTCTACTCTTTCTGAAAGGAAAACTTTGCATGTGGGGTTATCCGGTCCTTTAATTGCCAATTCTTGGGGCAGGGGGGGTTGGGAGGTTGGAGTATGATAAGGGTGGTAGGGTTTGGTCATGGTTTGACCCTCAGCCCTAAACCCCCACACCCCCAAACCCTAAACCCTTTAAACAGGGCAATCTCGGTCGCTTGGTCGCTCAGCCCGGAGCCTCTGGGCGGATATGGGGGTCTTTCTGAACATAGCCTAAAGCCTAAAGACGAAAGCCTAAACCCTAAACTCAAATTGCTAGACTCCCTGTTATAGCAACCCCACCCCCTCTGTCGGAACCCCCTCCCATGTAGCAAGTTTGACGTCATCGAGCCGCCGCACAAGCCCCTAAAACCCAAAACCCTCTACAGGAATCCTTTATTCTTGGGTGACTACATGGTCCCTTAGTATGGGCCCTTAAATGGAGACCCCTGATAAACCCCTTCTATACCCTACTATACAACCCAAGGGCCCATACTTCAGAGCCCCTTATATAAAGGAGGTAAGGGACCATATTAAGGGCGCATAGAAGTACTTGGAGGTTTATGGTACTTACTAACCAATTATCACTGTACGTATAACCAACTTATAAGCCCCTTAAGTGCCCTGATAAGGTTATAGAAGTACAGCTATAAGTACAGTTAGAACTGGTTAATAGGTACCATGAACCTCCAAGTAGCCCTAAACCCTAAACCCGAAACCCTAAACCCTAAACCCTAAACCATTGGTTAACAAGTACCATGAACCTCCAAGTACCCCTGAAACTCACGGCTTCACGGCGAGCCCCGGGCAATGACGCCGGCAAGTGCCACTGCCCCGGCTGCAGCCAACAGGAGATGTTTGCTGTCCTGTGCTGCTCCAAAAGCTTAAAGCTTAAACCCCAAACCCTAAAACTCTAAACCCTAAACCCTAAACCCTGAACCCTCCCCAAGGCACCCCTTTACAACGACCTATGGGTCGAAGGTCTTGATTTTTTTTCGCGGCGGGTCGTTAGAACCCAACACAGGCCCTGAAAACAGAAGATCTTGAATCCGGGAGCCGCAAGCCACAAGGGTTTAGGGTTTAGGGTTTAGGGTTTAGGGTTTAGGGTTTAGGGCTTGGGGTTTAGGGTTGAGGGTTTACGGCTTGGGAAACCGTACGCCCTGAAGCCCGAACCCTATCCCGAGGCTGAACGCACCCAGGGACAGCTCCGGGGTTCTTTAGGGTTTAGGGTTTGGGTTTAGGGTTTCGGGTTTAGGGTTTAGGGTTTCGGGTTTCGGGTTTAGGGTTTAGGGATTAGGGTTTAGGGATTAGGGTTTAGGGTTTAGGGTTTTGGGTTTAGGGTTTGTCGTTTTGAGGCTGGGGTTTATGGTCCCCTCTTGGGAACTATACAGGGCTGTATATCATACTAGCGGGCCCGATCAAGCGAGAGCGGGTCCGAAACCGCTGAACCCTAAAGCCCGCAACACTAACCCTTAAAACCCTTAAACCCTCATGTCAAGTCCTATGGCTCGAGACCATCCTTAAATCCCTAAGCCCCTACAACTTCCCCTAGACCCATCTAAACCCTGAGGCCTGAAACACTCACCCCCACAGCCTACGGCCGAAGACTCAAGCACCATACTCTGAAACCCTCAACCCGACAACCTACAAATTTAAACCCTAAACCCTAAAACCTAAACCCTAAACCCCTAAACCCTGAACCCTAAACCCTAAACCGGGCCCATTTGGAGCCTATGGCCGAAAAGACCCAAAACTCTAAACCCGAAAACCTAAAGAAACCTAGACCCTGAACCTAAACCCCCGTATAACCCCCGTATCCCGAGAGCCCTTCTTTTCGCGTCGGGCGAGAGCAAGCTCAGCCGCGCGTGCGCGTCCAATTGAGGGGTATGGCTCCCATGGTGTAGGCCTGGCTTGGGGCTTTGGGGGTTGAAAGGTTTCAAGGTTTAGTTTTTAGGGTTTAGGGTTTAGGGACGTGAGGCTTTGGGGGTTGAAAGGTTTCAGGGTTTAGTTTTTAGGGTTTAGGGTTTAGGGACG